AAATCAATATAAGCACTCCTATGAACTGGGTGCTAAACTTTGATCAAGATCTGAAGCTAATAGAAAATCTGTTTAGTTCAAAGTTATCAAATCAAAAACAATACATAAAAAAGCAAAACATTTCATCCACATTTTAAAAAGAAAATTGTTCTAAAATATATGTATTCTGTATTTGACAAACAGTTCATTCGACAAATGAAAACTCGCAGGAATCTGTTTCAGCTATTAGAACAGAATGATAGTTTTCATAATACTAGTTTAAAATCGCACTTCGAAGATTGCAGTGTTTGAAGATGTAGATTCTCAGGAGGCAACAGTACTGTTGACTTCTCCCTCCACTGCTAAGCCAGCTAAGATTTTCTGTTATCTTGCATGTTTTATGAATCTATTCACGTCTAAATGCAGAACTTTTTTTTTGCGATGAGGCATTTATTTTTATACTAAAATATTTGAATTACTTTGAATAAAACTGGAAATTATGTCCCTTAAAATAATTAAACAAATAAGGAACCAATGTTTTTGTAAGATATTACATCTTTTAAGGACATTCGGTAGACTGATTCCCCACTGTTGGTTCAACCCCAAAACTTGTTTGTATTCAAAATTAATTATGACAATGCATATATTGAAACAAACTGTGATCAAGGGAATTATATTATATAACAAAGGGCAAGGTCACCAGAGTTCAACTATGTTTATAAAATGTTAATCAAGACCTACAGTAAATTTGCCATTTTTTTTTCTTATTTTGATGTTATACTGCAATGCATCATAGGAAAAAAGATTTCCTTTCATGCACTGTATATTCTGAATGGGAATTAAAAGAGGGAATTTCCTCGCAAAATGTGTGTTAATTTGGAATTTTATTCTTCGGACAAATAGTCAACAATAATGCGTGGATGACGGGGGTCATGTGACCATAATAATATGTAATGTATAATAAAGAGATCACACTAGAAATATGAGTAACATATCTTATGACCGATGAATACATAATTATGTGATCTCATTAATATAGGTACCTAATATCTCAAGCAGCGTTACACTCAAGTACCAGATACTGACATATGCTATATAATAAAGGCACCATGCACACATAGGATATATGACTGAAAAGACAATCCACAACAGATCCACAAAATATGCATATATTTTTTTGTTTTTCTAGACTATTTAATCGATGTTTGTGATGATGAATAAGTTATGAATACATAAATCAAATATTTGTAATTAATAATGTTTAAATAAATGTGTACAATTTAAAAAAAATTTAATTGAAATACAAATTAAATAGTGCCATCAATGGCCAAATGTTACCTAGCTCACATGTTATTCAGACATTTAGGTAATTTCAAAATTGTCCCACTGGTTTAGATTCACCAAGTTAAAATGTTGTAAATTTGTTGGCTTGCAGTTTCAGCTGCCTTACACAAGCTTCTGTACACTGAAAGGAATCAAATGAAGTAGGGTGTATGGGTCGTAACTGTTTACATTGATGATAATAGTATCATGAAAAGATAATGATTGAAAGTGCTGATAAGAGTATAACTTATTTCACTAGAGGGATGGTAGTATAATATTGGAGTCAGTGTCCATTGATGGTAAGGAGTTGAAGGGATGCCAGGGTAGGCAGATGAACCCAGGTATGTATTCATTCCAGCAAATTTTGTTTTGTTGGATTTCCATGTACATAGATTGCTTATTGTACATGACCATACATTGACTAGATGTGAATAAATGTTTAATGTCAAGTTAGGTATTGTGTGTGCTTATGTACCAATTTCTATCTACCGTAAATTCCCAACATTTAGTGAAGGAGCAATGGCATTAGAGGTTAGAAGAGTTTGGTTACACAATATGCAAATTAGCTACTTAATATAATATGTAAGGTCATAGCTCCAATACTGACCATGTCTACATTACCCCAAGGTAACTATGTACTAAATTTGCTTACACAGAAACACCAAACTCATTTCCTTTCTTGTATGCTTTGCACCCACAGGAGCTAAAAATGTATTTTTGACTGCTTGTTTGTGTCTGGCTTTTTTAATCAACAGTAATTCATATTTGTGAATGAAGTAATTAAAAAGAATACAAATGCAAAAAGAAAATGTCTTTAAAAATATTAGCTCAAATATAGGTGAGCCCTCCAAAGTGTTAGCGTAATACAGTATACTTCTTGTGTTCTGTGGCTAGATTGAATTACATACTGTATTAGGAGTCAACTTATTGTGGTGTGCATTTATAGAAGATTACATCCAATCTACATTAAGGGGTATGTTATCATTTCATAGGTCATGCAATAGAAGCTGGATGGTTCCTGTTAGACCATGCAATCAAACATGATAAACCAGATTTGAAACAAACTGCTCTTCAGCAGTTTATTGTAAACCCATTCAATACTGGTTGGGATAAGAAACATGGTGGTTTGTTTTATTTCTTGGACTCTGATGGCTTATCACCTACACAACTTGAATGGAATATGAAGCTATGGTGGCCACATAATGAAGCACTCATAGCATTTCTTATGGCGTATAGAGAAACAAATGAAAGTGTGTATCTGGATTATTTTGCTCAAGTGTTTGATTACACTTTTAATCATGTAAGTCGGTTTTCAGCTTTTTAAAATGCAAATATCCGATCTGATTTATTAAATTGTAAATTGTACTTTAATTTGTAAATTGTAAATTTCTCCATCATTAAGATCTCGTGTATCATACAGGCAAGTGGGGTAGAGTGTTTCAAGATCACACTCAAATAATTAAGATACATTACACTGGTGAGTCGGCTGGGGAGTGACTGGATTACTTTAGTCATTGAGCTAGGGAGTGTTTGGATCATATTAGTTGATTGAGCTAGGGAGTGTCTGGATCATTTTAGTTGATTGAGCTAGGGAGTGACTGGATCACTTTAGTGATTGAGCTAGGGAGTGTCTGGATCATTTTATGATTGAGCTAGATTGTCTGGATCATTTTATGATTG